AAAAAAAAAAAATTTTTTTAAGTAGAGACGGAGTCTCACTATATTGCCCAAGCTGGTCTCAAACTCCTGGACTCAAGCAAACCTCCCACCTTGGCCTCCGAAAGTGCTGGGATTACAGGTATGAACCACTGCCCTGGTCTGGGAAATGCAAATTAAAACCACAATGAGATATCACTCTGCACCTGTTAGAATGACTTTTATCAAACAGAAGAAAGATAACAAGTATTGGTGAGGATGCAGAGAAAAGGGAACATTTGCACATTGTTGGCAGTAATTTAAATTAGTACGGCCGTTTTTGTTTTTGTTTTTGTTTTTTTTTGAGACAGAGTCTTGCTCTGTTGCCCTGGGTAGAGTGCAGTGGCATCATTATAGCTCACAGCAACTTCAAACTCCTGGGCTCAAGCGACCCTCCTGCCTCAGCCTCCTGAGTAGCTGGGACTACAGGCACAAGCCATCACGCCTGGCTAATTTTTTTCTATTTTTGGTAGAGACGGGGTCTCATTCTTGTTCGGGCTGCTCTCAAACTCCTGACCTCAAGCCATCCTCCCGCCTCAGCCTCTCAGAGTGCTAGGATTATAGGCGTGAGCCACTGAGCCTGGCTTAGTAAAGCCATTGTGAATAACAGTATGGAGGTTCCTCAAAAAACTAAAAATAGGACTACCATATAATCCAGCAATCCTACTTCTGGGAATATATTCGAAGGACTTGAAATCAATATGTCGAAGGGCCATCCGCAATCCCATGTTCGTTGTAGCACTATTCACAATAGCCAAGATAGAGCATCATCCTAAGTGTCCATCAACAGATGATTGGATAAAGAAAATATGGTATGTATATACAATGGAATACTATTCAGCCTTAAAAAAGAACAAAATTCTGTTATTTGGAACACTATGGATGAATCTAGAGGACATTATGCTAAGTAAAATAAGGCAGGCACAGAAAGACAAATACCACATGATCTCATATGTGGAATCTAAAAAAAGTGGAACTCATATTAATAGAAGTAGAGAGTTGAATGATGGTTACGAGAGACTGGAGTTTGGGGGGTGGATGGAGAAAATGAGGAATTACTGTTTAACCAGTACATAGTTTCAGCTAGACAGAGGAATGAGTTTTGAGATCTCTTGCACAGCAGGGTGACTATAGTCAATAATAATGTATTGTGTATTTTAAAATAACTAAGAGTAGGGCCGGGCGCGGTGGCTCACGCCTGTAATCCTAGCTCTCTGGGAGGC